CCCCAAAACCCCAAAACCCCAAAACCCCAAAACCCCGTTCTCTCTCAGATTTGCTGAAATATTAAAAGATCAAAATTTACATAAATGGGGAAAACTCAAAGCCAAGAGAAACTTCCTTCGATTGTTGATACTAAGCAAGAATCGAAAGGCTCAGAAGGACAAAATAGTATAATTCATGAAAGATCCTCCAAGATTCTTGTTCAACCAAAAGCTGCCGAGGGTCCTAGTCATTGATTAAATCAGATAGCGCTCAGTATGACAGACAAGAAAATTTGCTCAGGTCTTCCTCTAAATTCTTTATCAGCTTATTGAGAAGCAAAGAGAATTGTAGAGCAGAAGATCCTCCAACAGTCTGATGAAAGAGACTTGAGAGTAGTTACAAGACTATATGAGAAGACAATGGATTCCAAATGGGAAATAGACATAGCTTATGATCTTATGATAAATAACAATCGTCAATCAAGCAGAAAGCTTTTGAAGAGTCTGAAGTCACTGACTATATAGATACAATCAAAGTAATAAATGCCTCTCCCAAGAATAAGCGCATTCTGAAGAACTTCCTTCAGAACTCATTTCCACGAAGAGTTAAAGACTTTACTCTGCTAAATCAGAATAAGGATTCACTTCTGAATGAGAAGTATCTTCGAGGAGTCTCCAACATCAGTCATCAGATATAACAACTAATGTCACTTTTACAAATTTCAAAATTAGCCAGTCTTCTCTGATGAGGATCCTCTCTGCATGCAGAGACAAGGAAGAGATCTTATTTTATAGCTGACACATTTCTGTAGAAAAAGTACCTGAATTTGGCCATTCTTTGGATGGAAGTACTATCAAGACAATGAACTTCTGAAATTCTCAAATAGTTGCATTCTTCAAACAAGAAATGGACTTTTGTAGCCTGTTGAACTTGATTAAAGGTCTTTCAAAGTCAGAAGATTTCAGGAAATCTCTAAGCAGAATTCTGTTCTCTGAGAACATCGACAAGGACAAACTCGAGAAGATATTGCAAGAACTTGGATTTTCCAAAACTTATGTGATTGTGTATTAAGGTACCAATCTCACAATTCAACCATTGAAATTAATATTGGGGTTTTGGGGTTTTGGGGTTTTGGGGAGAT